TTTATGGGACGTATTATGGTATACCGTTGACCGTCCGTCTGTCCGTCCGTCTGTCCGTCCGTCTGTCCGTCCGTCCGTTGTCAACATGTCGGACATTAATTCAAAAACGCTTTAATCAATATGCATGAAACTTTGGTGAATTGTTTATATCTATTGACGTGAGCTCCCTTTCGTTTTTTATAAATTTCAGATTTACCATTTCCGAGTTTTGGGGTTTTATTCATTAAAAAAGGGGTGATTTTCTAGTTTTCGGACAATAACTCAAAAACAATTTCACCAATTTGCATGAAACTTTTGTGAATTGATCATATCTATTGATGTGAGCTCCCTTTCGATTTAAAAAAAAATTTAGGATTTACCGTTTCCGAGTTTTGGGGTTTTGTTCATTAAAAAAGGGGGGATTTTCCAGTTTTCCGACAATAACTCAAAAACAATTTCACCAATTTGCATGAAACTTTTGTGAAATGTTCATATCTATTGATGTGAGCTCCCTTTCGTTTTTTATAAATTTAGGATTTACCGTTTCCGAGTTATGGGGTTTTATTCATTAAAAAAGGGGGGATATTCCAGTTTTCGGACAATAACTCAAAAAAAATTTCACCAATTTGCAAGAAACTTTTGTGAATTGTTCATATCTATTGACGTGAGCTCCCTTTTGATTTTTATAAATTTCAAGACTATACGTTTCCGAATTATGGGGTTTTATTCATTACAAAAAGGGGGATTTTCCAGTTTTCAGCATTTTTATGAAACTTTGGTAAATCTATTTTTGTAAGCTCCCTTTTGATTTTTATAAATTTTTGTTTTTATGTTTCCGAGTTATAAGATTTTATTTGTTTATAGTCTGACAACAGATTTACTAAGTATTACGCAACAGCACAGTGTATTGCACAACAGCAAAAAATCTTTCATATAACCAATTTGAAGTTCTTTTACTACATTTATTCAGAAACCTATAATATATCAAATATTTAATTACAATCCAAATTCAGACCTGTATCAAACTTGAATATTGTGTCCATTTTTGCCCCAACTGTTCAGGGTTGGACCTCTGCGGGCGTATCCAGCTGCGCTCAGCGAAGCAGTTTATTTTAATTGTTGATTACCATCTTCAAAATTTGTTGATACTGATGCAGTGCAAAATTTAGAACTCTTAATATTCTTGGAACTTATATCACTAAATTGACTTAAATTTTTACCTTTCAGTTTTCATTTTTACTTTTCATATAAAAATAGGAAGATGTGGTATGATTGTCAATGAGACAACTCTCCACAAAAGACCAAATGACACAGAAATTAATAACTATAGGTCACCGTACAGCTTTCAACAATGAGCAAAACCCATACCGCATAGTCAGCTATAAAAGGCCCCGAAATGACAAATGTTAAACAATTCAAACGAGAAAACTAACGGCCTAATTTATGTACAAAATAATGAACGAAACACAAATATGATACACAGCAACAAACGACAACCACTGAATTACAGGCTCCTGACTTGGGACAGGTACATACAGAATGTGGCGGGGTTAAACTAGTTAGATAGCACCAAACCCTCCCCCTAACCTGGGACAGTGGTGAATCAGCACAACACAAGAACACACTATAAAGAAACAATAAAGGAAAAACAAATAACACCAACAAACAACAAAGCGTAACTTAGGAGCTTGATAACTTCAACAATAAATAAAAGGATAAAACATCTATAAGGCAGCAATCAAACAACACTATAAAACCACCATATGGCCTTCAGCAATTGTCAATGTATAAGGTATATCATAGATCAAGTTCTAATTTTTTCCCAGTGGAGACATTGTGTTAATAAATTCAGTGGAGATTACCAAAGATTTGCCATCAACATCAAGTTTGTTTAAAGGAAACAAAATCTTAAGATATAAGCCAAGATAACCATTGATTAGGCTCCTCACCTCAGACAAGTTCATATCAAAATGTTGCCAAATATTGGAATATTTTAGCTCTGTCTTTCAAAAGGGAAAAGGAAAAAAACTACATATTTTTATATTATATAAAGAGATGGTGTCTTAATGCTTGTTGCTAATGTTAGATGTAAATGAAGTTCTTTGAAAATTCAGTATAATCTATCAGCTAGTTTCCAAAATTCCTTGTGATTAATTATGACTGGAATGGAATGCGAGATAAACCAAAAATTAAAACTGATTTGGGTTTTAGGGAAACCCCAGAATTTAAATTGACATTTGTTTTTGTTCAGTAGAAACCCAACAACACAATTTAAGCAAGGATATATATACAAAAATGTAATAAGGCCACTGAAAGCTGAATTATTAGTTCAGTCTAGGTGGCCGAGTGGTCTAGAGCGCTGAACACAGTGCAGGCGGTGTTGTTTGATATCCCAATAGCATGAGTTCGAATCCCGGCGAGGGAAGAACAAAAATTTGCTTCCGCAAATTTGCAGATTTAACATTGTTGTGCTGATATTTAGAGTAATTATGTATAAATTATTATATATATACCCGGTTAACCTCAAGTTAAAAATTTCTCTAATGTGAATTAAAAGAAATGGTGCACAAAAACAGCAAACATAAGTCTGAATGAAAATCCTTAATTTGGCAGATTTTGTTGTTGTAACATACTGGTTACTTACTCAATGATTAAGAGCTTTGCTGACTGTTATAACAGAACATGTTCACCAGTGTATAGCTGACTGTTATAACAGACCATGTTCACCAGTGTATAGCTGACTGTTATAACAGAACATGTTCACCAGTGTATAGCTGACTGTTATAACAGAACATGTTCACCAGTGTATAGCTGACTGTTATAACAGACCATGTTCACCAGTGTATAGCTGACTGTTATAACAGAACATGTTCACCAGTGTATAGCTGACTGTTATAACAGAACATGTTCACCAGTGTATAGCTGACTGTTATAACAGAACATGTTCACCAGTGTATAGCTGACTGTTATAACAGAACATGTTCACCAGTGTATAGCTGACTGTTATTACAGAACATGTTCACCAGTGTATAGCTGACTGTTATTACAGAACATGTTCACCAGTGTTATTACAGAACATGTTCACCAGTGTATAGCTGACTGTTATAACAGAACATTTTCACCAGTGTATAGCTGACTGTTATAACAGAACATTTTCACCAGTGTGTAGCTGTTCCCCTGATAAACATAGGGCTGAGTACTTACAATCTTGTCACACCCAACCATATTTTTACATGGCCTTTCCATTGTTGGGAACCTTGTCAGTTAGTGTCATTGTTTATCTCTTATTTAGATGTGTTGTGTTGATGATGTTCCGTTTCCTACTGATTTGAAACTTGTATAGATCTAGATGTCTTTTGAGTTTTTGTGCCAGTAGGTTGCTGCCTCATTGAGTCATGCCCAGTACATCTCTTTTAAATTTGTAATACTCTCAAGATTTTGTAAAAGATAATCAGCAAAGATTGATAAAGATTCATTCATACTGATGTCTGTTATCTGAATTATTTATATTTGTATTTATTTTTTCCTTTTTTTATTTTAGTTGCTAGTTTTAATTAGTATGAATATGATTTATGTGAAATAAACAAAGGTATCCATCATAGCAAAAGTTTTGATTTGTGATCTAGCTTTACTGTACCTTTGAGCTTTGATAATTAAACACAGAATATTTCAGTACAAACCCATGCTGCAAACAACTATAACAAAGAAAGATTGATAGTTTTCAATTTATTTATGGTGTGAATTATTTAATTGCCAATTGCTTCCAAGTCTATCAAACAGTTTCATAACAGTTGTGCCTTTTTGCTTGGAAAGTTTTCCATCAAGATAAAAGTAGTTCAACTAATTTTGACCAGTTTATGCTGATAACAGTTCTGAAGAACGAATTGTCAGTAAGACATAGAAATAGACCAATAATTTAATGACTAACTGTTATTAGTAACAATTAACATTTGCAACATGGATCCAGGATTTAAGATTAGTGGAGGTGAGACTCAAACAATGTCTAAAATTTTATTTGCTTTTTATTATGCAAAAAAATTTTTTTATCTTATTTTATGGGGCATGTGCCAGGTGTACACTGAGTCTGAACACAACCCTGATACCGGGATAAATTTTGAAACAGCAAAAAATGTCTTTGCGGTATATCATTAGCCCATGTTATGTTGGTAACTAGAGTAATATATTTGACTTGGCCTGTTTTAATCAGAATGATGTAATTTCATCAGTCACTAAGATTGAGGTGTTATTATCACTTGTATTTAGTGTGATGTTTTAATGAAAATTTCATTTGAATTGTAATGAAACAGGAAATGATTTTGTAACAATGGAAATTTGTTTTTGAATACAGATATGCAAATTTTGAAAACTCATTACTTGTAATGTGCAAATTATACATTTTTTACATATAGAGCTAAGGCTGTGCATCAAAATTAATCAAATTAATCATGTTTTAAGTTATAAGTCAATATGGTACAAGGTTCAATATCTTTATTATTAGATATTGTCAGTTATTTTACCTTGAAACCTTAAATCAGAAAAAAAGTGTAATAAAATATAATTGTATTCGTTATTGACCAATAGATCACTATATAGAACATAAGGTTAGAACAAAATTCATAATACAGCTTTTTTAAAAGCTTGGGATTTTCTCTAAACTACTTGAAAATGCAAATTGACTAGAATTTCTATACATGTACCGTATGTGATTTGTTATACTATATTATCTAAGATACTTGACCTAATTGAATATCATGATTTTAAATACTGTATGTTTTCCTTAAATCCATCAAATATATATGAGAAAATCATTGGTTTCCTTTTTTTTTATTCATGGTAGAAATTAAACCATTGGTTTTGATGTTGAAAAATACCATGAATAAAAAAGTGTTTGAACAAAATTTTATAAGTCAGGGCATTGGTAAATTGAATGTTTCATTACCAAATGACAGACAGGTTATCCCCAAATCACCCAATTTAATTTTAAAACAAGTCTAAGTAGTTTTTATCTTTTCTATTTTCAGAGCTCTTCAGCAAGTTTTGAATCAGCATTACTTGGAGAAGCTCATGGGTTGATTACAGACATGTTGGCCGACACAACCTTACCATCACATGTTGTCGGCAGGCTAAGAACAATCAGTAATTTACTGAAACCTCCAGAAAATCATTCATCGTTCCATAAACCACGTGTCAGTCCATTGGTGTCTCTGACAGAATCATCTCATTATGGGTCTGATACAGAAGAGAGTCCTTATACTGGAGAGAGGCCCTCTACACTACCAAAGGTAGGTATAATAATGGTATCACATAAAGTAATCTCATTATGGGTCTGATACAGAAGAAAGTCCTTATACTGGAGAGAGGCCCTCTACACTACCAAAGGTAGGTTTAATAATGGTATCACATAAAGTAATCTCATTATGGGTCTGATACAGAAGAGAGTCCTTATACTGGAGAGAGGTCCTCTACACTACCAAAGGTAGGTTTAATAATGGTATCACATAAAGTAATCTCATTATGGGTCTGATACAGAAGAGAGTCCTTATACTGGAGAGAGGTCCTCTCTACACTACCAAAGGTAGGTTTAATAATGGTATCACATAAAGTAATCTCATTATGGGTCTGATACGGAAGAGAGTCCTTATACTGGAGAGAGGTCCTTTACACTACCAAAGGTAGGTTTAATAATGGGTAATATACTCTTAAAGCACATTATGAGGCCGATACAGAAGAAAGTCCCTATGCTGGAAAGAGGCCCTCTACACTATCAAAGGTAGGTATAATAATGGTATATTATATAAAGTAATTACATACATAACTTAATTGGACTCAAACTGAGCTGACTGAAGTTAGGGTAAATTAAGGCAGTTATTGAATGGCTGAATTTAGGTTAAATTACCAGTAGACAGTAATCCATGGCTGAGTTGAAGCTTAAACTAGGCAGCAATACAAATGACTGAAGGCTTTGGATAGACAGCAAGAGAATAGGAAGACAGGAGAGAGCATACATCATACTTAAGATGTTTCATTTGTCTGACATTTTTGTCGAGCCTGTGACTTTTGTTGCAAAAGTGAGACATAGCGATACTACATTCCGTCGGCGGTGGCGATGCAAATATTCTCTCTGTGGTTAAAGTTTTTGTCTCGCCTTGACGGAGTCAAAAAGAGAGACATAGGTATGCTATTTCTGGCTACGGCAACGGCGGCGTCAACAATGTATTAGTTTGTGATTAGGTCTAGTTCATGGTGAACCACTAGTGGTAGGTCAATGATATTTGTTATGCAGTTGTATTAGCATTGGCACATCTCATTACCATGGAGATTATTTGGCCCCGCCCCCTCAGTCAAGGTCTATTGACTTTGAAACTTTTCATAGTTTACATGTATTAGTTTGTGATTAGGTCAACTTATGGGGAACCACTAGTGGTAGGTCAATGATATTTGGTATGCAGTTGTATAAGCATTGGCATATCTCATTTCCATGGAGATTATTTGGCTCCGCCCCCTTAGTCATGGTCTATAGACTTTGAAAATTTTGCTAAGTTTACATGTATTAGTTTGTGATTAGGTCAGTTCAAGGGGAACCATTAGTGGTAGGCCAATGTTAATTGGTGTTCTGTTGTATAAGCATTAGCACATCTCATTTCCATGGAGAATATTTGGCCCCGCCCCCTCAGTCTTGGTCTATTTACTTTGAAACTTTTGCTTAGTTTACATGTATAAGTTTGTGATTAGATCAGTTTAAGATGAACTGCTAATGTTAAGTCAATGATATTTGGTATGCAAATTTATTGGCATTTGCAAGTATCGTTTCCATGGAGATTATATAGTCCCACCCCTGATCATGGTTCATTGACTTTGAAACTTTTGCATAGTTTACAAGTTAATGTTTGTGTTTAGGTTTGTTTAAAGGGAACGACTTATAATAAGTCAATGGTATTTGGTATGCAGTTGTATTAGCATTGGCACATCTCATTCCATGGAGATTGTTTAGCCATGTACCTTCAGTCATGGTTCATCCACTTTGAATATTTGCATAGCTTGATATAAGAAGATGTGGTATGAGTGCCAATGAGACAACTCTCCATCCAAGTCAAAATTTATTAAAGTAAACCATTATAGGTCACAGTACTGTCTTCAACACGGAGCCTTGGCTCACACCGAACAGTAAGCTATGAATGGCCCCAAAAATTACTAGTGTAAAACCATTCAAACAGGAAAACCAACGGTCTAATCTATATAAAAAACGAGAAACGAGAAACACTTGATGAACCACATCCTGACTTAGGACAGGTGCAAACAAATACAGCGAGTTTAAACGTTTTAATGGTACCAAACCTCCACCCTTTTTCTGAAACAATAGTGTAACATCACAACATAGAAAGACACACTATAAAATATCAACTGAAATAGCTTAACTCAATAAAAGGACATATTAACACCATTGAACATACACTGAACAAATAAATTTGACCTATGATACTATGTAAATACAAAATAAATAAACTAAGGAAAGAATAATAAAAGTAACATGTTATATCGGTATGAAATGTTAAACAAATAAAGAAAAACAATATGCTCGAACAAAAATATCAGCCATTTGCAATAACTTTAAACACAGGTAAATGAAAATAATTTTGTTGTTAGGTATACGTGTACAGTTCCAATAGAGAAAGGAAATATTTTTACAAAATAAATAATTTTGATGTTCATAGTACGAAGTGAAAATTTATAGTAATACCAAACACTTATCAAAGCTGGTATACAGACCAGACATAACCCTGAATAACATTAAATAACAAAAATGCAATACAATTAGTATCAACAGGTCAAATAAACAAGAAAGTACGATTTGAGAGTACTCGCAGTTACTGACAGCTAGTTAAAAGCCAAAACAATTAATAATAAAAAATCATGCATCAGAGACTAAAATCAACTAAAACACATCCCAGGGATTTAGTATTTTAACGTCATGGACAGTCAAAGAAGACATGACTAGTGCAATGCCAAAAATAAATGTATCGACAAACAGTAGGATAGTTAGGAGTTTAACCTCTTTATAGATCAAAACGAACGTGGATGTGTCTTTAAACATCCCGTTTGAAAAGAATACAAATTTAGTTATGTTTTAATTTGCTGATGACAAAATCGATATCAGTGCCAATGTAAACTATATTCAAAGATCTAATTACAACATTGGTAAGATAACCTTTACTAATAAGTTGGTTTAAAGGTTCGATGAGTTTATACGGATCACATAGTGATTTCCGCGCTTTAAGTACAATATTACCGTAAAATTTAGGATGTGAAATACCGTTTTTAATCAGTTTTCTACAAGTACAGCCAAATTTACTAATCAAATCTTTGTATCTATGAAAGAACTTAGCAAAAGTTTTACGTAATTTATGGTAACAAAATCCCTGACTTAATAATTTACCAGTGATGCATTACATGTTAAAGTATTGCTATTTTAATTTCAGCATTTGCGTTATCAAAATTACAAAAAGGCAAGACATATCTCTGTGATAACAGTTTATTGAAATTTTAATAACTTTCTTAAACTATCCTGGATTTCTACCAAACTTGGACAGAAGCTTGTTTATGACCATGAGATAGTATCCAGAAGTAAATTTTGTAAAAAAAAAATCCTGTTTATCCGTATTTTACTTATAAATGGACTTAGTTTTTCTGCCAGTTAACATTACATTCACTCTGTGTTTAAAGTTTTTAAAATTTAAATAACTTTCTTAAACTATCCTGTATTTCTACTAAACTTGGTCAGAAGCTTGTTTATGATCAAAAGCTAGTATCTAGAAGGATATTTCGTAAAAATTTATTTCCTGTTTTTCCGTATATTACTTATAAATGGACTTAGTTTTTCTTCCAGTTAACATTACATACAGTCTGCATTTAAAGTTTTTTAAACATTTATTAGATTCATAAACCATCCTGGTTTTTTACCAAACTTGGACAGAAGCTTCTTACAATCAAAAGATAGTATCTAGAGGAAAATTTTTAATAATTTTTTCCCCATTTTTGTTGAGCCTGTGACTTTTGTTTGATTGCATACTGTATTCATTTTTTATAAGCATAACTTTTTTCATACATTTCAAACGTTTTATTTCATTAACTGTAAATCTATTATGTGCATTCCCCTATCACACTGAAAACATAGACAACAGAAAGAGTAGGCGAGACACTGGGTTCCGCGGAACCCTTACGAACTTTTCTTTGCAATCTGTCCTGTTCAAGCCTTTTACTTCTCAGTTGAAGTTCTGAAAAATGAAATATGTTTTTACAGAATTTTCCATATGAATATAAAAAGAAATATTGATGTTTGTGTCAATGAAACAGCAATCCAAAGCCACACCAATTCAAAAGACATGTTTTAGTTATTTTTGTGGTTGGGTTGCTGTTTCATTGGCCTTTACCCGACATCTCCTTTTGTTTATATTTACAGGTCAATGTTTTCTTCAATAGATGTTAAGTGTTGGTTTGTCTGATCAAATGTCAGATAAGGAATAACAAAGCAATGATATGATTGACTTTATAAAACAAAAGACGTTATCGTATAATTCGCTTTACACATAAACGTATGGTTAAATGATACAAAAACACAAAACAACTGTTAATTAATATAACTCAAACTCTTATTCCACCTACATTAATCATTGAAGTTTGGACAAACAAGCAAGGATCAATCCTGACATTCAGGATTAAGGCATTGACCCTACATATTACACTTCCTACATTTTATTGAAATTTATTTACTCTAACAAAAAACCAAAATCTTGGTGACAAATACAATAAAGTGATAATAAGACTTACCTTGATGTATTGATATTAGATTCATTTCTGTTATTATTTGGTCATTGTATCTATTTTAGCTGCTCCTTCATTTTCTTTTCATTTGACAAAAAATCCGTCATTTTGGAAAGCATGAGAAGATATGGAGATGGTATGTTAATGTAAATAGGTGAAAAAAAAATTTAATTGTCAAATGGTATAGTTTATACTTTGATGACTCTGCTATTCTTTTTTCAGATTTATAATAATTTTGCTTTGTTTTCCAGAAAATACGCAAAAGTTTGCCACCAAGCTTAATTAGACGAATGTCAACCAGTACATGGACAACTACTACATCAGCAACAGGAATGCCAACTTTGGAACTGGAGCCCTGTCGTATAAGAAGTTCTAGTTTTCGTCACCATAGAGATGTATCACCAGGAGCTAGCCCTGGAGGCAGTCGTAGTAATAGTCCTTCACCTAGCTCACCCACTGTAGTGTTGACAATTCCAAAATCTCGTTCTTTTTCATTAGCTACCACACCTACTCCTAGTGGATCTATTCATAGTAAAAAATTGGCAAGGAAAAGTATGGCGCCCTCTGTGAGTCAAGACAGCAATGTAAGTTCTAAGCATTCAAGTTTGCTTTGTAAAACTGATGCTGATTCCCAGGACGAGGGGGACGGATCAAATTTTATGAAAGACATGCAGCATACGTCTGTTAGGACACGTGCAAATATAACTTCTGACTATGAGAGCAATGACTCTCCGAGCAGTAGTGACCATAGCGATAATGTTGTGACTAATGAAGATTTTGTAATAGGGTCACCTCCTAATAAGTCTCTATTTAGTACTAGTATCCATGAGGATTCTACTTTAGTACAAAAACAAAGGGTAAGTTAGTGGTAGAAATCTTTTTATAATTTTGTCAGTACAGCTAGAGTGAGTTTTGAATTTTGAATTCCACATGTCTATTGATGGGATTAGTAAGTACAGGAAAACCATCTCTTGAGACCTAACAGTTTCAGTATTGCGTACCTTTCTCGGATAGAGGTGATTTTCCTGTGAGGCCATCTTAGATTTAAGGGTTATTGATGGAACGGCTGTCAGATAGAAAAATAGTTTAAAAAAAAAGAAAAATTTCATCTATATTTTTGCAAACTTTTGAGAAAAAATTTCTGACCTTAGACACCTGGCTGAAAACTGATCATATCTATTTTATGTAATACACGTTACTTTAGACAGAGATGGAATATACAACTCACATTAGCTGTACTGTTCCTGATGCAATAGGAAAATTTCATTCACATCCCTATGGTAACATTTTTCTTTCGTCAAAATTGAGGAATCCATACTTATGTCTAATTTTATAATTTTTTATTATCACCTCCTACTTATATTTTAATCACAATTTTTTTTTGAAATTTGGTGCCCACCTTCAAGATTATTTATTGCTGCACACAGCCATATAATGATAAGACAGTATCTAATGATCCATCCTCCTCAGTGTTGTAGTGTTTTATATAAAGCTTTGCATTTTACCAATAGATGTTCAATGTATGGCTTAGTTTTCTCATGGCAATTTTTAGATATTGTGTGCAATGATTTTTTTCTGATGCATCAGATTTTTTTTATTCATATTTATATCAGAATTTGATACATTCATTATACTCATATTGAGTTCAGAAAATATACCAAATATTCTGCTATTCCATAAGCTAAATATATGTTACTGTAAATTCAGAAATTACTGCATGCATTATTTCAATTTTTGAAGACTGGACAAAAATGAGTGATTAATTATTGCGATGTCAGGAAAATCTACATACATCTATATGTATCAGATATCTACATCTATATGTATCAGATATCTACATCTATATGTATCAGATATCTACATCTATATGTATCAGATATCTACATCTATATGTATCTGATATCTACATCTATATGTATCAGATATCAGAATGAAAAATATTCACCCAGACGCATTATTCACATTGATAAAAACCTCGCAATAATTTCTGAATTTACTGTATATCCATTACATTATAGGTTTGTATGCAAAAAAAATATTCGTTTATATCACTTCACTATGCATGCATGCATATAAATAAAAGGAGGAGTGGTATTTTTCAGTGAGACAATGACCAAACAGAACATTCATAGTGAAGAAACTTTTTGCATTTATAAACCCCCCCTTTAATGGTTATTATTGATGACCTCAATCAATATGAAAATTGCTGCCATTGAGACAAAGTACTAAGTAGAATCTTAATCAGCAATTAGTAGTATTTCCTGTTTATTTAACCCAATAAATTTTAATCTGATAAAAAAAAATTCAGACCATTGACCAGGAAAAGGAAATATACATTTATACTGCATAAAGTAAATTACTGATGTCATTAGAAGGTAAATGACATTATAATCTCCTAATATGGTATTTTTTCAAAAAGAATTAAATGTCTTTAAAAAAAACATGTATCCTTCATTTACTACTTTCTTTTTACATAGCATATTCTTTTGAGTCATTTCAAATGTAACAGTGAATCTTAGCTAAGGCAAAACAAATCAACAGTAAATCAATTTTAGTCCTAAATAGTAATTATACGACCGCAAAAAATTTTGCAGTCGAATATTGGTATCACGTTGTCATCGTCGTCCGAAGACATTTGGTTTCGGGACAATAACTTTAGTATTAATAAATAGAAATCTATGAAATTTGAACATAAGGTTTATAACCACAAAATGAAGTTTGGGATTGATTTTGGGGGTTATGGTCCCAACAGTTAAGGAATTAGGGGCCAAAAAGGGGCCCAAATAAGCATTTTTCTAGTTTCATGACAATAACTTGTGGAAAAGTGTATGGATCTCTCTGAAATTATACCACAAGTTTCCATACCACAAAGGGATGGTTAGGATTGGCTTTGATGGGTTAAGGCTCAAACCGTTTAGGAATTAGAGGCAAAAAAGTGAGAAAAAACAAGGGTGTCCTGGTTAATGGACAATTACTTAATTACAAATTACAATGTAAGGGAGGTAATTCAAACACAACTTTGAATTACCTCCCTTACACTGCTTTTAAATTATGTATAAAGAATTTTTGTATTGTCTTGAGGTAATTAGCTGTCAATTCATTTTTAGAAAATTTAAAAAATGCTGATTAAGGTAAATTAAATTTAGCTATGATTATGTATGTCATTTTCTATTTTAAGACTTTTATGATGTATTTAAATGGGTTATTATGGTTGCAAACTCCATTGGAAATTTGAATTGAAATTATGACCATGACTGAGGGAAAGAATTTTTTTGGGGAAAAAAAGGCAGAGGGGGAGGGGGTAAAAAAAAATTTTGGTGGGGGGGACAATTTTTTTCCTCAAGATTTCAGAAATCAAAAAGAAAATCCTTCAAATTTATTTTTTTTTGAAAAAAAAGTGGGGGAGGAGGTCAATTCGCAACAGAATAGTGTATTGCACAAAAGCAAAAAATTGAATATAAATTCAAATCATATAACCAATTCTAAGTTCTTTGACTATACTTTTCTGTGTCAGAAACCTATTATGTGTCAAACATTGAATTACAATCCAAATTCAGACCTGTATCAAGCCCGATTTATTGTGTCCATTTTTGCCCCAACTGTTCTGGGTTGGACCTCTGCGATCGTATCCAGCTGCACTTGGCGAAGCAATTTATTTTGATCTAACATCATCTGAAAGTCTAAAACTAAAAACGTTAAGTCTTGTTGCTTTCAGTCAATTCAGTATTGTTCAGTACCTTTTCAGACAATACAGTATGATCTTATTTTGTACAGGTAAATTACAGCTACTAAACATTTTGAACAGATCTTAATTGACTGCAGGCAAATTGTTTAAACAGTAAGATAAGAAAATTTTTTATTTTGATTTTGCATTTTTTTTAAACTATACAACACAAGCTCCACAAGGTTGAAAGCGTTTTTGACCGAAATTTACTGCATTGGATAATTCTGAAAATTATCTGAGATAAAATTGAGAATGGAAACTAGGAATGCGTCAAAGAGACAACCCAACCAAAGAGCAAAAAACAATACAAGGCCACCAATGGGTCTTCAACACAGCGAGAAAATCCCGTACCCAGGCCTTAACTGGATCCTAAACTGAAAGACTGAACAGAACTTAAAAATTTATTGTTCAGTGTCTTTTAGGAGCTGTTCAGATCAAAATAACTGTTTCAGTTCAAAATTGGTTTACAATAAATATAGTTGTGTTTCCTGACGCCCTACCTTCACTTAATTTTCATGCCTACCTAAACACATTTTATGGACATTTTAACTACTAATGCAATTAACGTAATCATTAAGGGCAAACTTGAGATTTTGAAAATTATAGGATAATATTTTTGATTGATTGATTGATACACACACCACACTATAACTGAAACCATCAACTTATTCCAAAAGATCTATTGATCTATTGTTAATGAAATTGTCCATCAACCAGGAACATCATTATCAACATAAAATGGATGTCCATATCTACTACAATCTGACATATACATATAGGAAAGGAATAACTTAATTTAAAATGTTTCAACTAGCCATGCACTAGTTTTGATAGGTTAATACAAAAGAAGCTATTTTAAACATTTCTAGATTTTAATTCTGCATATGTTTTTTTGAATTTTTGCCCTTGTCAGTAAGTTCAGTAGCCTTAATAGCGAAAAACATCTGTATAATGACTTCAGATTTTACATGGGAAAACTTTTGTTTAAAACAACTGGATTCCTGATGGCTTGTCATATTGTGTCCTCAATTACAGGAGTTCATTAGAACGAAGCAACAAAGATGATGAGTTATTAACATTTCAGAGTTTTCTTTTGTCTGCCCTCAAGATCTGTAAAGAAAATGTTTGACATTTCATTTGGTTGCTAGGTGATAAGCAGCTACATTTGGAATTCTGTATAAAATGGCTGTAGGGATTGTTAATAAAGCATGATGGAGAAATTATTTTTAGGGAGCAAATAAGTTAATTAAAAGAAAAACGTATAGAATTCCGTTTTTGGTGACTTATTTTGCACACTATTTTTAACATTCAGCTTTAATTAAACTATTAGACCTAATGTTTGACCAGCAATTACATATAAATAGGGGATTCAAAATTAAAACAAAAAAACACAGTTATTAAAAATATAACTAAGATCTGTTGTCTGTTCTCAGTTTCTCAGGACCTGTTTTTGACTTGCGTTATAATTACTGATTTCGGACCAAAGTGCCATTGTGAATTATTGAAATCTCTTGGCGTCTACACCCCTCTGAGTTTAAACTTCTTGAAATATTCTCAACCATTTGGTTAAGTGAGACAAAACTTGATCATAGACATCCTTTGAGGATCTGTACTCCAAAACTTTATTTCTATGCCAACATATAAAATGAGAACATTGGGGTAAAATTTATAAAATTTACAAAATTTTCTGTTTGTAAGTCTTTAAAAATTATCTTAATCTAATTCATTCAAAATTTAAGGGAATTTGTGTATCTAAATCATTCAAACTGAATATTTAATTTGATAGGACCAAGACTAAGAACACTAAACTTGATTGGATGTCTGTTGCTGATATTGTGTTAAACATTAAAAACGATTTCCACCTGCATGAACATTTCTGCTCTCTATTTTAAGTTTACTTTTAAGATGAAATTGAAGTTATAGGATTGTTCTTCATGTTAATGTCCAAAGAATCATTGACCTTTCATAATTTTACAGAAATGGTTACTGATAAATGACTAATATATATATATATATATATATATATATATATATAACAGCTAGTTTATGAAATTTTCAGTTTGTTTGAAAACAATCCAAAAGTACAATGATATTTCGAAAGAAAATTGGTTGCTTGGAAAATTTGATTTCTTT